ACTGTGCGGGGAAAAGGCCCTCATTGAGACTTGGCCCCGTAGTTGCAATTTCTTAAAAAATGCTCTGGAGTTAGAATGGGAAGGACGACGATGGCATACACATACACTATAGAATGAACTCCAGCATTCTTTCGTCTTACCAGTTTAAAGGCAATTTTCCGTCGCTTTGCCCGAGCGAGCGGAGCGAATATTGCTCAACTTTCTCTGTAGTTGTCTATCCTGTGCATTTTTGGTCCGCCCGCATGCTCGCGGACACGCCATGAAAATAGAACTATATTCATCTTTCTTGGCGTGCTCGCGCGACTGATTTTTCACGTGATTAAAATTGGTCGCTCCACTCGCGCGGGCTAATCGACTGCAATGGTAAATTGCCTTAATAATTCTTCACGTCAAGACATGATGTCAAACGTACCCATAAACTTTAAACTAAAACTTTTGAACCGTTTGACTTTAATTACAATTACGGTTTTCAATATTTTGGTATTGTGGTAAGGTCATAAATTATTATACCAGCAAAATGTAAATACGCCTGCAGATTTAGCGAGAGTTTCGCGTACACCTACACGGTACCTGGTTAAAAGCAAAGAAGAAGTACCAGACCGTAATACTGGCGTACCTCTTCTACGTAAGTACGCAAAATACCGCACCCTGCTACTTTTTAATTGTACAGCGTTCTTTGTAATCGTAATTACAAATTCACGAGAAAAACACAAACACAACCCGGATTGCAAAGAAACTCATTTTCCGCACCAGATCAGTGGCATTCATGGTGCAGTCTTTAAGATTAGTTAAGAAACATCTTTGTTTCTCGTTGGATTAGCTACTTCATTTTTGTGATCAGAGATGCGTAACCTGCAACTCCACTTTTACTGTTCTATAATGGCGGCCTTGCAAGTGCAGTATACTGGCTGTCCATTGCAGCAACATACGACAATTCATCTGCTTCATCTTTCCCTCATCTTACATTATTTCATTCTTCCCCTCTCTCTTCCTCCTTCGTCACTTGTTTTTTTACCATTGATCAGATGAGCATAACTGCTATCTTCACATTTATTTTTTAATGACGGCCTTACTAGTGGAGTATACTCGCCGTCCATTGCATTAAGTAATCCATCTGGTTTATCCGTCATCTCTGTTGCACCTGCTTCTTCTTTTCCTCTTTGGACATTGTTCAGATGTGTGTAACCCCTATCGTCACTTTCATTGTTATTTACTGGTGACCTTACAAGTGGAGAATACCCGCTGTCCATTACGCCAGTATCTGTATATTTTTCCGTTGTATCGGCTTCTCGTTGAAGTGAAGGATACTCGTATTGATGGCTTTGGGGTTTCTCGGGATATTCATATGTGGGGCTCTGTGGTATTTCGTACTTAGGACTCTGAGGTCGTAAGGCAAATGTGCGATCGTTAGCGTCGACATACTCGTATTCGTGCCCTGGGTTTGGTATTGTGTAAAGTTGTATTTGATTCGGCGTAGGTTGGGAATTGTTGTTTTGGGGATTAGCAGATTCTGCCATCTCTTCGACCACGGGTGAAGAATTTTCATCTGGTACTTGACAAAGAAAAAGAAATGTAGGAATGTTATTGACATTTTTCCCTATAGAGATGTTTTCTGAATCTGGACAAGCCAGCAAAGTCATTAATATGTGCAACAAAATCACACTTGGCGAAGGGAACAAAATATGTTTCAGAAACATTTTGGAGTTGGCGAGCAAGGAAAAGAAGCAGGAAAGTGAGTTTAAATGCTTTTGTAAACCTGTACTTTTGTGGATAACAGATCTGTAATATTTCTACGACCAATCTTAAGTTTGTTTCATATAATAATTATAAAGTATAATTCAAGATCAATAGCACAATAGTAGTGTTAAAAATTGTCGCAAATATCATCAGATGCACTGTGGGGTGATTCAATATTGACAAAAATTTCATTTATTGCAACCTTCCAACATCATATATGATTACCTGGATTTTCTGTGTTACGGTTTTTTGAACGTACAGATCTATGAAAAGAAAACAGCATCTTTAAAGATTTATAAGTGAATTGACAAACTGATTGTTTTGGGTTTATATGAGTTCTCGTTGAAATTGCTCGCGACTCTGGTTTAAGTAAATATGTGCAATCCTCGAAAGGATGTTTCGATTGTTTTCAACCGATGTTTCGATTGTTTTTATCATGAGTGGTTTAATGTTTCCGATATACTGGAGAGGTAATGTGACCGCCTAACTAGGTGGCAATAACCTCAGTGTCATCCTAAACATGCAATCGTATGCTTCGTAATTGGCACACTTGGTTTGCTAAATCCAATTCTCGCCTGTTTAAAAATGTGTTCAAATTGGTGTTTTGGCTGACCCATGCTGATATTCTTTCTCACGGTCACTTACCAAGTGCGGAATAGTTGGCACAGCATTTTTTTTTTTCTATTTGACTTGACAAAGTCATGCATTAAGATATATGTCGGTTACGTCTGCATGACATTCTATTTTTTTACCTCTTTCTGCGTTTATAGACGATGATTCCAACCATTCCGGCAATACAAAAGAGAACCAAGGCACAGATGATAATAATTATAATTTTGGTATTATCTTTGCCAGCACTATTGCCTTCCTGGTCGTTGTTTAAATCATTCCCGTCATCCTTTCCATTTTCACCATCTCCATCAGGCATCCGTGGAATGTCTGCATTGATTGTTCTGTCTTCTTCATTGTAATTGAAACCTTACAAAAATAATTGTACTATAATTATCGAAAACCAAGCCTCCAATGGCATTTAAGGATAGGCTAGCTTCTCTAACGCGGAAACCGAATGGATGTAGCAAAGTCCGTATTAGAGATGGAGAGGTTTTCAATATTATAGATGAAACCACGATGGCGTGGTTTCAAGATTGAACGACAATTTGGATGGAATGAGATTTTGTGTTCATTGTTCGTATTGGCGTCGTTCGTATTATTGGGAACGGAGGCTAGATAGATGCTGGGACCCAAATAAGCTTTCAAGTTCGTATTAATTCATGCATGAATCATCTTTAAAGAAACGTGGAGAGAATGTTCCATACAATTTTCTCTTAAAAATTCATAAGTTCATATATGCACATTTCAATTCAGTCTTATCAGTGAATACCATACTATATTAGGTTATGAATCTAAGCACCTCGGAAATTTCGAAGAAAAACCCAGAAATTATTCTGGGGCCGGTTGTATAAAAACTGGATAGTAAGCATTATCAATCGGATAGTGCTATTGCTTAGATTGGCCATTAACTTGTAATGACCCATGTTAAACTTTAGTATGTAAAAATAAAAATTTCCTTTTATAAATTGTGGGATCATTATTCGTAGTTTTAGAACGGTTGAAAATTCACTATCCGGCGTACGTATATAGAACCGACCCCTGACGGTTTATAATATCTATTATTTTAAAACAGAACGTTACCGCCAAGAAGTTCCAAGTTAAATTTTAGAACCGACATCTGTAGTATAGGCGTGTCCGTTCTCTACAAATGTACCTGTAAAAGTTCCCGTGTATTTTATTACTACGCAATGTTCAGTAGTAGTGTCTTTCGCTGTGCCTGTGCTACTTTCACACTGAAATTGCACCTGTACAAGTATTCCTTTCCAGCTTTTCGGAGTTCTGGTCAAATTCCACTTTAAAACAACAAAAAGAGTTTTGCTCAATTTTTCATGTTTCCCAACTGGGAATAAAATATGACCTTTGGGCAGTTACGTCATAAATCCCTCTGTACCCCTGGACCCTCGTTCTCGTCGTGAGCCAACCGCCTTTCGTCTTGATTCGTCAGAGAGAGTGTCGCAGGCCAAGGAAGTATTTGTGACGTAATTACTCTAAGGATGTGTTAGGTAATAGCATGTTTTCTGATGCTAATTAGAAAAAAATGCACTTTTTTGCAATAATTAATACTGCATTTCTTTCTGCCAAATCAGAATATATACACGCTTCCAGAAAATACATCACCTTGGCTACGAAGTCTTGTTTACGTGATTGAGACAAGGCCTTTAATTTAACTAATGTCAGATAAACGAAAATGAGACTCTATATAGCCATATAGCGACGTACTTTCCGGAAAGGGTGTATTGATAATTGTTCTTGTCTGCTATATTCAAATGACTATGGACGGTATTCAGCGTACCATTACCAGCGTTGGAAAGAAAAAGTTTTTAAGCTTCTCTTTATGTATCCAAAACAATTCTCTTTGGCATAGAATAGTTATTCTGGTTTAACATTTATGTACCAACGGTACTCTCATCTAATGTCCTAGTATGTTACCTTTAAAGACATTTTATGAACTGATGAGGACATTACAAAACTTCCATTCATTATTTCCAACGCCTTCCATGTATCATTGTGTAAATATTGAATTTTATTTGGTAAGAGGAAACACTTCGTTTCGCTCAACCTGATTCTCTTCTCTCCCAAACAATCTGACTGTTCTTCACATTTTGTTTTATTAAGGATTACGAGCGATGAACCATCTGCAAATATCTCACACCCTACAGCTGAAAAGAGAGCAAGTGTATCAATGGAACAAGAGTAAAGCCTGAATCAAACGAATTAAGGTGCAGGTGAGAGGTTATCAACCCTTCTGGCTCGGTTAAGCCAAACATTTTCCAGCGTTTATAAGACAATTTCACGGGAGCGGTTAACCATGCAGTGTGTATATTACTAAGTAAAAACTTACATTTTTAAGAAATGTTTTTTTAAGAAACTTTTTTTATGAAACGTTTCTTTAGTGTTAGAAAGTGAAAAATAATTTCAAAATGTTATGCTTTTCCGACCGACTAAGCTAAAACTCTCGTTGACTGATCATAATATTAGCCATCTACAGAGGGTGGGTGGATTAAAAGACCCCCTCCCCTTAAAATGACACGCATGGTTCTTTGTCAACACAAAAAATCCACCCAAATTGTTGAATTCTTCGCACAAAAACTGCTTTATAATATCCGGAATTCGCGCAGTTCTACTACTACATATTTTTGTCCATTCCCTGAAGTCAACTACAGTAAATAAGAGTTATGGGACGTTCAAACACCGTTTGGGATTTTAAGATTTTCCCTGACTTTATACTGTTTGCACTGACAAAATTTCGAAAGAGTTCTCAGGATCTGGCAAATTTGTGTTATTTTCAAGAATTGCATGGTTTTATGCATTTAACTAACTACCTTGAGAACAGACATCTTTCTTTGAATCAAAGCGCCTCCATTTAGTTTCATAAGACTGTATTTTTTTCGTTGTAACAAAATGAACCACTTCTCCATAGTACATGTATCTGCGCGATAGTAACTGCATGATGTTGTATTTCTTGTCACCAACACATTCCCATAATTGTCTTTGGTTGTTTCTGTTGCATTTCCTCATCACTGGGAAATATTGATATTTATCACTAATGAAATCATCTGTCATACATTCCAAGGTCTTCCAGTTTAAGAGTTGTCCAAAGTTGGTCCACATCCAACGGGAATCCCAGTTTTTGGCATTACATGTAGGGCTGCCGATGACAAATGCACTGTAATCAAGGAATTTTTGATAAATACAGGACTTATCAAGGTTGTTCTGAATGAGGAACGAGCCTTTATAAGCTGTAAAAGATATGAAAAAGTTATAAGTTATTTGTACTTTTGCATGGCGATAGTATAAGTTTTGATTTGTGCCAACATTACGTCATTTATTGTACATATAAACAAGTGGTCGATCACGAAATGCTAAAGAGTGCTCGGTATCGCATAGATGGAGCAAATACTGTAGTTATTTTACATCAAAAGGTTGACACTACAAGGCAATGTTTTCAAAAAATAAAGCCACTGCTGCGCAGGCTATTGCCTGATGTTTAACTGGCTTAATTTTCTGCGCTATTGAACAATAGATTGCACTATGTAGTAGCGCATTTGCTCGTTTAAGTGCCGCGACGCTGCGGATTTTGAAACCTTAGACGGTTGATATCATCTTTGGTAGTTGAAGGGTTTTTGTAGATTGAAATTTTGAGTAGAAGGTTATATACAATTTTTATACTAAACCAGGAGCAGTTGCGAAAAGGCCCTCTGGCGGGAATCGAACCTGCGGTCGTGCGATTCCGGGGCAGCGGCTCTAACCAACTGAGCTACAGAGCCGTCCAGTTGGCGAGCTCTATCAGACGTTTGCATGAAAGAAAGCGTTGAAATAGAGAGCAATAAAATATGCTAACTTTTGAACTTAAGACTACGGCAATTTCGTGGCTGTTTTAGTTTCGATTTTCAAGCAATTGTGCTTGGTATTTCCAATAAGCACCGAGACGCGTCTTTGTTGTGAATATGTTCACGATTAAATATAGGGAATCACTTGTCGATCTCAGCCGATTCAAGAAATGAGAAAATTTATAGATAAAAACACACCAAAATAATAACGATGGTTTCCATATGGTCGTATCAATATAATGGTCGTAAAAATTGAGTCACGATCTTTCTCAACGGCCAGTTTATAATAGTTTATACCTGTAAACCACATATAAAGTATTCTCTATAGTTATATATATAACGCCTGCCTGCACCAAAATTGGCAAAAGCTGTTAGTCGTACTTACTTACACACGTAAATGACATAACTAATTATTAACAATTGTGGCGAAACTAACTACATCTATCTGCCAAACCGGGGTTTTCAAATCCTGGTGGATGTAAACAGTAAATTGTGTCATCAAGTGTATTATACTATACTTATACTTACATGTTGCGTAGACCATCAGCTCATTTGAGACACACTTCCCGTATTGACCTCTTGTCCATACAAATGTCTGATCCATCATACACTGGCAGTCAGCACAACTTTCATCGGAACAAACGGCATTTGCCACGTTACAACCAGACACATTTGTGAATTTATCGCGTTCTCCTCGAACAATATCGATATTTTTGCTCTGACCAGCATGACATATTGTTAATATTACCATAACTAAGCAAAATTTTATTTTTAATGTCAGTGACTGCATAGTAAAGCTTCAATCTTCAAATGTCAACGGTGCTGATATCAGTGATATGGTAAACTGGTATTTTATCTAAACTGGTACAGTGGTACTGTAGACGTTTTAACTTCGTCTGCTGCGGTCGAAAACAGTAGCAATAAAACCTGAAACTTCCGTATATGAATTTAGCTATGATATACCTGGCATATCCTGTGAATTTTGCTTTTTGAAATTCACCCCTGCAGAACTGACCGGAAGTTTTGAACCCGAAACAATAGTTGAGTATATTATATACATGTCCTCATCACCAATATCTGCTTGACTACAATCTCGTCAAGTACGGGAAAAGTTTATGGACTATGTCACAACCGGAGAAATTCAAACACAACGCTAAGCCAAAACGTAGAGAAATAAAAATTTGGAGTTCCTGTTCTCTATATTTTGGTATAAACATTCTCAAATTTTCAATTTTAGTGTTATAAATTTTAACATTGGCCACTCTACTAATCGAAACGGAAACAACTTTGAAAGCATTTACGATAGAGTGATGAAATATTGAGCGCAAACGGAAATAAAGGCGTAGTTGTCATTTTACCACAACAGGTAAATTAAAAAATTAAATTAAATTTTAAATAACATCCCCTTTTTTAATTTGTGGTAAACGCGTACACGGCCATGCGGACATACGGACATGCGGAGGGAGTATTTAATCTTCAGACTTCAAAAAGCACTTTTTACAAGAGTTGGAATACGCGGTTGCCAGTGGCGAAGCTAGCCATAGTAACAGGTCATGCTATGCAAATTAACCTATTTAGATGCAGGTTTATTAGCATATAGCATGACCGGTTGCCATAGCTAACTTCGCCACTGACGCTTGCGGAAAGTACGTCACCTTGGCTATCGAGCCTCGTTTTCGTGATGGAGTCGTACTTTGACTAATGCATATGGGTCTATTGCAGTACATATATATCTTATAAAGTAAATATCATTATTTATTATATAAAGTATAATGCTTTATAGAGATTTCGAGCACTGATAAAACTGATAATCTCACATAATAATTTCACATGTGAAAATTATTGCTTTTCAATTATCGCTTTTCTGTACGAATTATCGCTTTTCAAAGACTGTCCTTTCTTTTCTATAAACAGAAAAATACATGGATGTTTGGAAATACCAGATTTATTCAGCCTGCGTAGCGGCTCTCAGATTTATTTCTCGTGTTCAACATAATAGAGAGGTTAAGATACCCTGGTTCCGGTTTACGGGTACGAGTATCGCCATTTTGTTTACCAATTTTTGCTGATGTCAGCAATTTTACCCGTAATTTCTACCCGTTTCCCCGCGGTAAACCAAGGTCTACACGTAAACGACAAACGGGTACGGGTGTTTACTGTTTACTATTTTTGGGCCGTTTAAATAGTACAAATTTTTAACATCTTACCCAAATAAATAATGCACATATGCTGGTCAAAGTATTCAACAATTTATGGCGAACCTCAACAGCGAAAGTTGCCATTCTCTGATCGGTTTTCTCACGCCGGAGTATCTTGGATTTCTTAAGTTACAAGTTATTCCCCGATTTACGGGTACGGGTACGTGTATATCACCCGTACCCGTAAACCGGAATCGGGGTATCTTAACCTCTAATTATTTTTCAAAGGTTGCTCCCCCACTGATGGAATGTGTTGATGCGCAGAATATATGCGCAGAACGGACTTTACAGCATCTTTAAATTGATAAATGCAGCAAAATAGAAAAAAGTACGTAAATTTTATTAGAAATAACCCCATGAAAAGGGTTATAATGAATGTCTAATTTTAAAAGTCATCGAAACACTTTTTCGATACCGTGCAGTATCGACTACTTCCTGTTTGGGCCTGCTATCGATACCAAGTAATCGCCCATCGCTAATTCCAATGACCCTTCGGGTAACATCTGCATGTTTTGGCGCACGGGGTTTTTCTCTGATTGGAGTTAAGATCAAAGAAAAATATATTCATGCGCGAAACATGATGATGTTGCGCCATTATGGACTTCATACTACGCACAAAAACGGGGCACTAATTTTCACAATGGTCCTATACGGGGCGTATAAAAACAACTCGAAGTTCGCCGCACTATTACTCGGCGTATCAACAAAATGTTTTCATATTCGGAAAGATCAGGCTTTTAGCTATGGAATGATATGTTTTTCATGCGTATTTGCTAATTTGTTATCCATTTCGCATGAAGAAGATATCATTCGACAGATAAAAGCCTGATCTTTCCGAATATGTAAAAATCTCGGTCATACACAGAGTATTTTAGATGCAATAGCGCGCTGAAGTTCGATTACCTTTTTCATAGTTAATAGAATAGATGGTTTGTAAACTTATTTAGAATAACAATATAACTCATTATCTATATTTAGTCAACGTTTATTCATAAATCTGGTCCTTCACCGTCACGTGTGTATTGTATTTTTGCCAAATCCACCAATAGCACTTTCTTAAATTAAGACATTGCTATTGGTTAGTTGGGCAAAAATACAATACGCACGTGACGGAGAACGACCAGATTTATGAATAAACGTTGACTAACATAGATGATGAGTTAAATTGTTATTCTAATGAGTTTTAAAACCATCTATTCTATTAACTATGCTTTTTTAGCCTGTACAGAGAGCCTGCCAGGCTAGAGCTGTGCGGTTCCAAAAATTTGATCTCGGTTTCGGTTTTTTGGAACAAGAAAACCTCGGTTCGGTTTCGGTTATTTTCAAAAAAGAAGAACAGTACAAATGTATGAACTCATTTATGTATGTTTCGAGCATTTTTACTAAATAGATGAATTTATGCCTTTGTATAAAGTTTGTATAAATCTCTGAATATTTTAAAAGAACAATTGGAATTTATTTATGAAGATGTAATATTTCTTAGTTTTTAAAAAAATTTAAAGTAAGTTCACAAAAATAACTATCACAACTAAAGTATCAACTATTTGAGCACTTAGTACAGTGCATATTGTGTACAAAGAGCACAATCTTGTTATTTTCCAAACATTTCAAAACCTGATATTGCTGTGTTGGTGTAATGTACTCAGGTGAATTAGATGCTTGTGTGATGTTACTCTGAGTGTGTATTCACACAGGGCAGGCATCCCACCGTGGCCAGGCATATTTTTCAAGCCTGCCCGGTGTGAATACCGTACACACTCAGAGTAACATCACACAAGCATTTCAAAACCTGCAATCAGCTGGGCGTTAAACGGGAAATTAAAACCGAAACTAGCGGTCTTTTGCGTATAGTTTTTCGGTGCTGAAAAAGTAGCGGAAGAACCGAATTTTTTGGTTAACCGCACAGCTCTACTGCAGGCTACTATAGAACCGTCCACTGGTCACAAAAGTGGGCAGGTTTGTGTATTAATTATGCATAAGTAATGAAGCTATAATGACAGGGGTAAAAAAGATCAGAAGTTTTTCAAAGGTTAATGCGCATCATAGTGCATACTGATACCAACTTGTACTGATTTGTGAATCTTATGCTGTTATTGTAATTTGTAACAATAAAAGGCACATACTGTTTACATATTTGGACGGTCAGGATTGAGGAATTTATGCCGCCAAAACCACCTGTAGTAACCAAAATCCAGAAGTATAGGTTGCCGGATTCTAAGAGGGGATACTAGAACTCTGAATGTTGGTATTCTAGTTGGTACTAAAAAAAGATTCAAA